CAGCCTGTAATTAGGAGTTATAACAGTAGCCTGATTATACAACAAGACTGTAAGACTGTGACCTACTCCCTAATTGGTTGCTGGGACTTACTGCACGTTACTGCACTGCGTCACTAAACAAAATTTACCGAGCTGATTTATATGCTCCAAATCCAAGTATACGTAAATCACCATTAGCCAATTGGAATAGGCAAATCGGCATTGTTCTAGAACATAATGCCGAACACTCTAATGCACAATGAAATGATCCTTTATTTGACTCATTTACCAGCGTTAATGACTCCAAATTACTGTCAGTGTTGAAACGAATGGGAAACACATCAAATCTCAAATCACCTTATTTGACCCATTGGCACATGCTGTATTAACAAATTGCAAACAATTTATGATATGACAATTTGAAATCAACCATTTTAACTTGGCAAAAAAAATTTCACTATCATCCAGATCTCTCTTTTAGATCTCATCTAAAGGTGACAAAAGTGGGATATAGAACATAATCTAGATAAACATCATAGAAAATGGTTTGCTTCATTTATGGATATTCCTTTTCCAGCAACAATAAAATTTAATAAAATACAGAAAACCTATTTCTGTTTTACTTGGAGGTTCTTTTTTTTAAAAAAATTAAGGTGTTTAAATGAATCCAATTAGTGCCTAAACCACAGGTATGGTGTATGTAAACACTAACAATTAGGCCTCATGCACACTGGACATTTTTACAGCGGCTGTTTTTGGCTTTTTGCATTTTTTTCTACAGTTCGTAAACTTCCCAGCATGTTATCCTATGTGCCCATACACACATAGGCTTTAATCAGTGTGTTTTGTCAGGAGCATTTTTTGTCTGAAAAAAAATCCTAGAACTATTGGGTTTCTAGAGGAGTTTTTAGCTGTAAAAACACTCTAATGGTGGTAAACATGATAAAATGTGGCAAACCAAAGTCTTTGAGCATTTTTTAGCCAAAATTCTTTTATTTTTTATAAAAGCTAAAAAATGCTAACGCAGCTAAACATAGCAAAACACAGCAAAATGTTAATGCAAAAATATGCTGAAAAACTTTTACATCTAACACTACTGGCGGTTTTAAAAAGCCCACTGTGCATGCAGATACTAAACACTATCCTTGCATACACGTCAATTACTTAATGACCCAGTAATCTATTTTTCATGAAAGTGTTTCTTCTTGTGTTTTTTACTTCCTTGTACCATCCTCCTCAAACTCCAGAACTGTTTTTCCCTCTCACTTTCATTTGTTTGGAAAGAGCAGTGCATGTTAGTTGCAGTTATATGAACTGCTCTATGCACACTACACATTTCATAGTCCATCTCAGGAGCGAGCGAGAGAAGGTGACTACATTCCTGCATACAGTTGGATCATGGAGAATGAATGTAGCCACCTCTAACAGGAAGTCAGCAGCAAAAAAAAAATGAATTTGGAAGGGTCCGACTGAAGCTGGCCAATATTAACTACTAGGCACCAAGTACTTTGCCCACCTCCAGGGGTGTTCACTATTCACTCTAGGACTGCATACACCCACCCACAATTGGGGATGTAAGCACAAGGTGTACACCAGGACCCTTTTTGATTCTTTTGAACTAGTTGAGGTTGGTTAGAGACTCTAGTTAAGAATCAGGTTAACAGGGCTGTAGCTTTTTAAGTGCAAGTTAGTGATTCATTGCCTATTTGTTTATTACAGTGCTCTTTTGGCTATGCATTCATCTGTTTGTTGGTTCAACCCAAGAAATGTTTGATGCTAAAAGTCATTAAGATCTCCAAAATTTGATTGGGGGATCTGCAAGTAACTCTTGGTGTCAGAGAGCATGAATCTACAATGTGAATGTGCATCAATTTAAGCTTCATGGGAGCTGTGCCAGGAAAAAGCTTTTGGAAAAAAAACTATACAGCAAGAATACTGGTTGCCATTGAACATATAGGCACCAGGACCAGACCTTCTGGAACAATGAGCTGTGGACTGACAAAGACAGAGTTGTTTGGTCATATTTACAGTGGAGATGTTTGGTGAAGACTGAATACAGCTTTAATGAAGAAGAACTTCATACCAACTGTAAAGAGAAACAATGGACAATATTATGGAGTTGCATTGCTGCTTAGGGCCTGAGCATCTGGCAGTCATTAAATCAAAAGCACAAAAAGTGGCCGCTGCCCCAGTCTATGACTGGCCTTCACAGCAGGGAGCACATGGAAGGGAGACATATGTCAAACAACAAAAGAGAAAAATTCCCAACTCAGCTTTCCAACCAGCCTGCAAACAAACCAAATTAACCTGTCTAACAGTATGCGTTAAAAACAGGGGTTTAGTTAGCACACATTTGCAAATACATGCCTAAGCAACCGAGCCTTGTCACAGCTCCCCGACATTTTGTAGTTCCTAATGCTACAAATTTTGAGAGCCCCCATAGTAGAGGCAAATGTATTTAAAAGATAGACTAAGGGCAGGTGGACCTGAGGGATCCCAACCCTCTTTAAAGGTACAGGAGCGCACTGGAGACCCAGCATGTAGCACAATGGCAGCTAAGGTGTCCAGTGCGCCCCCTCACCAACAATTCATCAGTACAAAAAATGGCTGCTGCCCCAATCTATAACTGGCCTTCACAGCAAGGAGCACATGGAAGGGCGATGTATGTCAAACAACAAAAGAGAAAATTTGCCAGCTCAGCTTGCCAACCAGCCTGCAAACAAACCAAATTAACCTGTCTAACAGTTTGCATTAACAACAGGGGTTTAGTTAGCACACATTTGCAAGTACATGCGTAAGCTACAGAGCCTCGTCACGGCACCCCGATATTATGTAGTTCCTAACTCTGCAAATTTTGAGAACCCCCCTAAAATCAAAGCGTAACTCCGAGAAAATGAAATCTCTTGCAGTGTGGCTGCATCAAAATCTGCAAGGGATAAATGCTCATTTCTGTCTAGGAATGGTAAATAGAGATGTGCACAACAGAAAAATTTGTTTCGGATTTGTTTGTTAAGTTAATAATTTCGGTTCATCATATTTGTTATGTTAGAATGATTTGTTTTTGGAATTTGTTTTGTTTATTTGGATTTGTTTCCTATATTCAGATTCGGTAGTTAAAACAATTAGAAAACAATTCAAACTTCGGAAGATCACTGTATTTGTTCTACTCTATTCAATTCTATTCTAATCTATTCAATTCTATTCTATTTGTTTCTATTCTATTGTATGCTATTCTTTTATGTTCTAATCTATTTTGTTCCATTCTATGCTATTTATTTCAATACTATTCTATTTTATTCTATTATGTTCTCTTCTATTCTGTTCTATTATTTTCTATTCTTTTATATTCTATTCAATTATTTTCTATTTTATTCTATTCTGTTTTTTATATTCTATTCTATTTTATTCTACTCAAAAAAGGAACACACTGCAGCAAAAATTCATATGCATTTGTGCTGCATTTTTGCAATGGAGCAGTGTGAAAGCAGCCCAAATAGGAGTCACCATCTCATCTCACTTTTATACTTTACTGTATTTATAGCAATATGTGTCCATTTTGAATTCAAATTCATTCTCAAAATAAAATTCATTTTCACATTCATTTTTTAATTCAAATTCATTTTTGAATTCGGATAATTCACTATTTCAGTATGTTATTCTGTGTCCTTATAATTTATTTTGGATTTGTTGAAATTCGTGATTCAGGTACATCCGAATTTCCAAATAACAAAAATTTTGTCTGAATTTCGATTCATAAAAAAACATATTGCACATGTCTAATGGTAAAAGCTTACTGTAGTTACTTACTGACTTACTAACTTACTGTGTAGTTAGACCAGCTACTTGCCTGATCCTCCACTCCTCCAGCAGGCAGTGCTTCAGGTACAAGTACTTACCTGATCTTCCTTTCCTCGACAGACAATGTTTTAGCCAAACGTAACCAGTGCTCCAGTCTTCATACAACCAAGAAGATGCCAAAATGCCAACCAAAGAGGTGCAGCCCTTATAAGATCGGGAAATCTGAGCACTAGTAGAAAAGAACAGACAAGGGCGCACTCTCATCGTGCATTACCATGGTAAAACACGTATTTATTGAAAAAAGATATATACTCACAAACCAGCGTGATATAAAAGCAATATGTGTGGTCCACAAACACAGTCGCAGTACATCTGTGTCTATAAGTTGACGCATTTCGGGAGCTAAACCCCCTTCCTCAGACAATGTTTTAGGTACATGTACTCACCTGATCCTTCACTCCCCCAGAAGACAGTGCTTCCCCATGCTCAGGCAGTGGACTCTCCCTCTGCATCCTCAAGTGCAATGCAGGGCTATATTCTTCTTAATGATGTCATGGGGATCTTAGAACATAGTATGCCAGGGAGAAGAGGCTGCAGTGACCGGTCTAGTCTCCCTAGATATAAATGATGTTTAACTTTTCGTTTTTCCAAACTTTAGCTTTAACTCAAAAATACTGCATATCAAAGTGTGCTTAATGAGAATGTAAGGCCATCTGTCCAAAAGCTGAAGTTAAACCAGTAATGGATCCTTAAACATGCCAATGATCTAAAGCACACTAGAAACTCCACAATAGAAGGACAAAATAGAAAACTTGGTGTAGACTACTATAGTCTGGCCTAGTCAAAGTCCTCATTTGAATACCATTGAAATGCTGTGGAAGTATTTGAAATTGGCAGTTCATACAAGAAAACCCACAAACATTGTTCAACTCAAAAAAAATTTGCAAGGAGTGGTCACAAATTTCACAAAGTTGATATCAAATACTGATAGGTAGTTGTGCCTGGACTAAGGAGGAAGGGGTTATGTATGAACTGTCAGCTATCCTAGTCAACCATGAAAAACTTCTCTCTGATACAAGCTTCAGACATAGACAAAGAAGTTGGGTGTAGTGGAGTACATGTAGTAAGGCTAAAGGGGAGGTTTACTAAAACTGGTGCACACAGAATCTGATGTAGCTGTGCATAGTAGCCAATCTCTGCTTTAAGGAGACCCTGCTGGGTTCCTAGAAAAAGGCTGTTATGCTTGGAGTGGACACAGTATTGGAGATGACCAGAGACTGCAGACATACTACAGGAGATGACCAGAGACTGCAGACACAGTACAGGAGATGACCAGAAACTGTGGACACAGCACAGGAGATGGCCAGAGACTGTGGACACAGTACAGGAGATGACCAGAGACTGCGGACACAGTACAGGAGATGACCAGAGACTGCGGACAGTACAGGAGATGACCAGAGACTGCGGACAGTACAGGGGATGACCAGAGACGGCGGACAGTATAGGGGATGACCAGAGACTGCGGACAGTATAGGGGTTGACCAGAGATTGCGGACAGTACAGGAAATGACCAGAGACTGCAGACAGTACAGGGGATGATCAGAGACTGCAGACAGTAGAGGAGATGACCAGAGACTACAGACAGTACAGGGGATGACTAAGAGACTGCTGACCTTTGGGGAGGGAGGGGGAGCAAGTACCTGAATTTGACAGGTACCCGCTCCCGCTTCCGCGGAGTTGTCCTCCCTTTAGTTCGGCGTCTTCTGGGACCTGTCATGTGTCCCAGAAGACACCGTACCATTCACAAAGCGCAGCGCTTCTCACGCTGTCACAGCGAGAGCCCACACTAAAGAAGCCAGCGTGGGAAGACTGCGCAGCACTGGGCCAAGGAACAGGTAAAGTTCTGCTGCAGAGAAGAGCTGAGCGGCCGGCCCGGTATCCTGACACGGTGGTGGCGGTGGAAATACCGTATCGGCCGCTCCATATTCGCTCCATAAGACGCACTGACATTTTCCCCCCTTTTTTGGGGGGAAAAAAGTGCGTCTTATGGAGCGAAAAAATACGGTAATTATAGACCTGTTAGTTTAACTTCTATAGTTGGGAAGATACTGGAGAGTTTAATAAAAGACCTCATAGATAAGTTCTTGCTTAGAAAAAATGTTTTAAGCAACAGACAGCATGGATTCATGAAAGACAGAAGTTGTCAAACAAATCTTATTTCTTTTTATGAGGAGGTGAGCAAAACCTTGGACAGAGGGGTGGCGGTGGACGTGGTATACTTGGACAGAGGTGGTGGACGTGGCAGTGGACAGAGGGGTGGTGTACGTGGTATACTTGGACAGAGGGGTGGGTGGCTGGTGGACAGAGGGGTGGCTGTGGACGTGGTATACTTGGACAGAGGGGTGGCTGTGGACGTGGTATACTTGGACAGAGGGGTGGCAGTGGACGTGGTATACTTGGGTTTTGCAAAAGTGTTTGACACAGTTCCCCACACACAGCTAATGTGTAAGGTAAAGTCTACAGGCTTGGAAACACCCGTATGTAAATGGTTAGAAAACTGGCTAAAAAAACCTCATCTGGAATATGCAGTTCAATTTTGGTCACCAATTCACAAAAAGAACATTGGGGAACTGGAGAAAGTACAGAGAAGGGCAACCGGACTGATAAGAGGCATGGAGGAGCTCAGCTATGAGGAAAGATTAAAGGAACTAAATTTATTCTCTCTTGAGAAGAGGAGATTAAGGGGGGATATGATCAACATGTGGTTCATATAGTGAACTCAGTGTAGAGTTATTCAGCATGAGGTCATCACAGAAGACAAGGGGAAAAGAAATGTAATCTCCAAACGCGGAAAGGTTTCTTCACAGTAAGAGCTGTGAAAATGTGCAATAGGTTCCCTCAAGAGTTGGTTCTGGCCAGCTCAGAGGATTGCTTTAAAAAAGGCCTGGATTCTTTCTTGGATACACAGAATATAACTGGTTACTAACATTTATAGGTGAAGTTGATCCAAGGGAATATCCGATTGCCTCTCGGGGGATCAGGAAGGAATTTTTTCCCCTACAAGAGCAAATTGGATCATGCTTTGCTGGTTTTTTTGCCTTCCTCTGGATCAACTGTGGGTGTAGGATTTTAACTTTTTTTTTTATGGTTAAACTGGATGGACTTTTGTCTTTTTTTCAGCCAGACTAACTATGTAACTATAATATTTGTATGCAATGCTTATCATTTACCGTACATTTTTCAGGCAACAATGAATGCTGATTGACACGTACCTAAACATGCTCAAGCAATTTGTCCATCCCATTGTATCTGTCTGGGAGGATGTAGATGATGTGCACTTCATGCAGGACGCTGCACCAGCCCATTTTGCACAGACAACATGGGCATGGCTAGCCAATGCTTTCCCTGAACAAGTCATTGAGCCTTGCGGGAATGTTGAACGACCATCAAGAAGTCCAGACTTAACACCACTGGACATTTACCTTTGGGGGTATCTTAAAGAGAAAGTGTGTGTCAGGAAGCCTAAAAATGTAACCAGTTTAGAAGACGTAATTCAAGAGAAGTGTGGGAAAGGGCCAGGTGAAATGTTGCAAAGGGCCATGCAGAACATTCAGCCCCACCTGAAGAAATGTGTTGCTAAGGCTGGTGCATATGTTGAATTTTAATGAACTTTTTATACCACTTACATCCCCCCAGTTAATGTCATTGTGCAACATAAATATGGATCAACCTGTATATTCCCTTTAAATAATAATGTCTTGACTGGAAATGTACCTTTAAGCCAAAATCCTCTGGTACATCGAATGATTCATGGAAAACAAAACTTTTGGCCCAACTGTCCGACTATGCCAGTACTGAAAAACAAACCGGTGGAAGTCAATGAGTCTCCAGTATAAAGGCATAATACATTCTGGCTTTTAGGTCATCATTGTTATTTAACGTTTAAGTGTTTTTTAATTGTACTTGTTTATGTGTTTTATATTCAATATGTTTTATTTCACAATACTGCTACATTATTGAGCCCAACATTTAAAAAAATGTGCACTGTTCATTACAGTTATTGGCTAACAGATCACTACATTTATTTTTGCTGCCTATTTTTTTTTCTGTACAGCATCTTATTTCTGAAAATTCCATCTAAATTGGCCCCAGAGTACATAAACATTTAATTAAAATTTCATTCAATCCCTTCATTGCCAAACGTGTCAAGAATGTAAGCAGCATTAAGTAGCAACGGATCTGTAATTTCTACATTTGTCACTGACATAAATAAAAATTGTTTAAATGCCAGTTAAGTTTTCCTGGATGCCGCTCTGAACTAGGATGCTAATTAGCGCCTTCTGAGAGAATCGAGACTGCTGTGTTAAAATCCATAAGAGGCGTCTTGTATGTTTCTTCTTTAGCAAGGGTTCATCTTAAAATGTCCTGATAGCAATTAAAAAAAAGGATATTAAGCTATTACTCATTAAGCCTGAACTTTAGAAAAGCATCCAATACATAGCTGAAATACATACTGCATGTGTGGACTGTGAGGTATCTTAAGGATTTGTAAGTTAGTGCTGCTGCGATCCTGGTACAGATGCTGGACAGCACAGCAAGAACTCCCAATGCAGAAACCATAGGGCTGCCTGCTGACTGGACATCGAGGAAGCACTAACACAGGGATGAGTTGTTGATGCTCACTCTACTCTCTCCTCCTGTCAGTATGTTCTCTTTTATCACATGTATACTATAGCACAACCTGATTGGTACATGGTGCCAGCCCTCCCAAACCAAGTCTAAGTGCTGCAGTGCATGGGATTACATGAAGCTAATATTGGGACAATTTTAAGCACTTGCATTGGTTATGTTCAACAATCCATTTCATTATTCTTAATCAATTAATAATGGTATCAATTTATGTTTTTCTGCCAGGAGTTTATATTTAACCCAGTACTGTGTGGTTAGACAGTAAAGAGAACCCGTAACCTTGAAATAAAGTTCATGTTGCAAAGAAGAATTGATGGAAAGTCTGCATTTTGGTAAATGATGGTAGTGCTGGCCATAGATGACTTGTTTCTTTTGGATCCCCCATCCATGCAAACGAAGTAGATGGAGGAATCCTCCCTGGTGTGGCATTTTATTCTGCCAGTGGGACTCCTCTGCTGTCACAATACACAGATCAGTGGCTGCAACTAATTTTCTGCAGCCGCTGATCAACAAAGGTTTTGCAACATTCGCATTTGACAGAAGTCAATCAGACAGAAATCATTAGATTGACTTTTGTCAAGCAGGAATGGCCATATTTGGATCACAATTTGGCCAGTCCCTGCTAAACGGGCAGAATTTCTATCCATCTGTGGCCAGCATTAGACTCCCCTTACCTCACATTATTAACATACCACTTCTGTACCACTGGATCAAGGGTCATTATACTTTGGCATGTGGCTTTTGTTTTTTTCTGCACAGATAACATGGTGAATTGTAGATAGAAAAGTCTTGAGCTTTTGGGATTTTCTGTCAATATCTCATTGATTGTATTTATTGCTAAGATAAATGTAATCAATTGTAAGGTTTTTGCAAAGAGTTTGTGTTTTAAGCTAAGGGTTAAGTTCAGGGTTATGCCTATTGTTAGGTTTAAAGCAAACCAGTGGAAAGAAAACGGGACTCATTTTGAAAGTTGCAAGGAGAGCTGGTGTTTTTTTGAAGAACAATCAAAAACCATAGACTTCGGCATCACAGTTGACCTACATTGGTTTCTGCTGGTGCTGAGGAAAATGTTCACAGTTATTGATCATTCTTGTACACCAAAGGTCTCCAAACTTTCTAAACAAAGGGTCAGTTTCCTGTTCTTCAGACTTTGGGGGGGGGCAGACTGTGGCTAGAGGTGTGATGGATATGGTAAAATGCCTATTCGGTTTCCTGTTTAAAACATACATTTTATATATATTTACTTTTATACTTTTTCATATTTCTAAATATATGTGTTGTGTGTATATATTTTGTCTGCTGGGCTTTGCAGTCCTCCTTAACTTGTTTGTTCAGAACGATGTTCTCAACCCCTCCCTTCGAGCTGTGAGGATCTTGTACCTAGGCCTTGAATATGTGAGGGGGAGTGAAGATATAATGGGCCTCAAGCATCAAATTTCTGCACTTCTCCCATATTTCAGCCAAGCAAAATGTGCCTTTTAGAATGTGACTGTATTTACGTAATAGTGACGTATACCCTATTGTTCTCCTTGTATAAAAGGTTAAGCACTGCCCTGCAATAAAGAGATGATGTGAAAGTGGTTGTACTGGACATTTGTCAGTGTAATTATTTCCGACGTGCACGCAATCCATATCTCAAAATTAGGAATAGCAGCAGACATCCAACCTGAACCCGATTGTGGTTTCCAAAACCTTTACAGCGGGAGCAGATGTCCCATCTTTGGTATTATGGGAAGGAAAAGTAAACACATTGTTGGTGTCAGTGGGAGGAATTATGCCCCATAAATGGTGCCAGTGGGTATAATAGTGCCACATCATTGTTGTCAGTGGGAGAAATGGTCCCCCAGTCATTGGTGTCAGTGGGAGGAATACTGCCCAGAGGTGGACTAACAACTTATGGGGTCTCCGGGCAATAGGGGATCATGGGGCCCCTGTGTCCTTGCCCACACTCAAAAAAGCATATAATAAAAGGTACCAGGGGCACTTCATGGGGCCCCCTATTGACCCCAGGCCCTCAGGCAGTGCCTGAGTGCTCGAATGGTCAGTCCGCCCCTGATAGTGCCCCATTGTCTAGGTCAGTGAGAGGAATAATGTTTCATTGTTGGTGTCAGTGGGAGGGATGGTCCACCAGTCACTGGTGTCAGAGGGAGGAATAG